AAAGACTTTCTCCACCTGTAGGACCACATGCTGGTCTAATCAGCAGATTCTAGTCTGAAACACTGACCACAAAACCCAACAGATGCCCAGAGAAGATAGTTAAACAATCTTGCATTTACAGTGGTTAAAACTGTAAAACCTTTCAGTACATCCTTTGGCAATAGGGATATATTTTTCTGCCGTGCATTATAGAACTTCATCTGCAAGAACTTGACATGACAACGTAGAAAACAAGGCCTCTCTTAGTTACATCAAACACTTCCAGGCATATAAACACTGAGACTGAGCACAGAGAGGAGGTACAACACCAGGTGGACTGGTGTCAGAATAACAACCTGCCTGTAAATGTTCAGAAGACTAAAGAGATGGCTGTTAACTTCAGGAAGAGCTTAATGGCCCACACTCCACTGCACATCAACAGTCTGCTGTTGAGATGGTCCACAGTGTGAAGTTCCTGGGTGTGCACATATCAGATGACTCCTCCTGAAACCTGAACACCACCACCATCACGAAGAAAGCCCAACAACGTCTCTACTTTCTTAGGAAACTGAAGAAGGCAAGTCTTCCTCCTCCCATCCTCCCATCATTTTACCATGGAACCACTGAGAACATCCTCTCCTGCTACATCACCTTTTGGTACGGGAAATGCATTTTTGCTGAAATGAAGTTTCTGCAGCAGATAGTGAGGACAGCAGAGAGGATCATTGGAGGCCCTCTCCCATCCATCTCCCAGCTCTACGACAGACACATCATCCGACGTTTGAACAGCTTAGTGAAGGACACTTTCCACCCCTCACATGCACTGTTCTCCCTCCTTCCATCTGGCAGACGGTTTTGTAGCATCAGAACCGTAATGGCCAGACACTGCAAGAGCTTCTTCCCCCGAGCAGTCAGAGCTCTCAACTAACTACCACCAAAGGACTGATATACACAAAGAGTTTTACAAACACCTTACAATACTCACCAAAAGACTGAAAAACAACAAAAACTTCCACAAACCCACTATAGACTGGACCTGGGAACAATATGCTTATTTGCACACATCTAAATTATACTATATTTGCACATTTTCCATCTTGCACATGTCTTGTCTACAATATCCTGACCATAACTTGAACCTAGTATTCAATACCTACTGCACAATCCACTTCGTAGTGTCTCTGTCGTG